TTTTGTAACAGTGCAACAGACGCTGTAACATTACAAAAATATATTGTAGATGTTATAAAAAAGGTAGAAGAAGCTGGGTTTCGTGTTGTGGCTACAGTTTGCGACCAGGGATCCAATAACCAAAAGGCAATTAAAAGTCTAGTTGAGGAAAACAGAATAAAAAAACTGAGAAATGGAGAGGAACTAAGACAAAATACGTTTGTAGTAAATGAATCGGAAATAATACCGCTTTATGACCCTCCCCATTTGCTTAAAGGGATTAGAAATAACCTTTTAAACAAAAAACTGATTTATACTAACGAGCTTGGCAAAGAGTGCACAGCAAAGTGGGAGCACTTAGAAATGTTATATGCTGAAAATCCAGCATACAAAGGTCTACGATTAGTACCAAAACTAACGGATCAACATGTGATCAAAGAAAAAATTGGCAAAATGCGGGTGAAATTTGCAAGCCAGATATTTAGCCAAACAGTTGGACTCGTAATGGGCTACTTGGCAGGTAATTAAAATCTTAAAATAACTTTTATCTACTTGATTGTCCTTTGGCTAAGGAAGAGGGGAGGCTCTATCTAAGTTTAATTTACTTCTCTAGCCCTTTCAAATATAAATATAATTTTTTATATACAAATAAACTAAACTAAAACACTGTTCAGCACTGCTTAATAAGTATGTTTTAATAATAATAATGTTTATTTATTAAATTTTACACTGGATATTCTATTTTAGATATGTTTAGCTCTTATTATCTCATTGTTTCAATGCTGGGCAAAGGCAGGTACAAATAACAAGAAGCTATCTTACCTTTATAATATGTGTATATTGACGTAAAATATTCTTATTTTTTCAGAAAAGGGAATTTTGTCTTCAGAATGTAGGGACACTGCTGATCTACTAATTATGTTTGATAACCTGTTCGACAGCATGAACGGAAGTTATAGTAAAAAAGAAAAGCATGGGAAGCCATATTTAAGAGCTGTAACATCAACATCGGCACATAATGAGTTGTGGTGCCAAACAAAAAGAATTTTAAATTCCATGAAATTTGTTGATGAATCAGGCAAAACAAAAACCACACCAACCTTACAAAACTTCATATGGACAATAGAAGGTTTACAATATTTAGTTAAAAAGTTAAACAAACATAATATTACATCGTTTTGGACTAGACACCTTAACCAAGACCCTCTTGAAAATTTCTTCGGGTCCATTAGAAGCCATGGATACCGAAATAATAACCCCAGTCCAGCTGCATTTCGCTCTGCTTATACGGCCTTATTGATTAATAATATGTCAAGTGTGCATGCAGCCGGTTCAAATTGTGAAAACGATTTTTGTGAGTCACTTGAGGCTTTTGTGATACATCCTGGGATTAACACTGATCAACACGTCCAAGATGTCAATATGGAGGATTTGTTAATTAATGTAACACCTTTAGAGGAGAAGAAAAAGAATGTTAAAGAAATTGCCTCATTGACATATGTAAGTGGATTTTTGTTAAAAAATTGTAAAAAACGCATTTTTAAAAATTGTAGAAAATGTAATGATGTATTATTTAGTAAAAGTAAGGATAACGAATATTTAAAATATAGAGAGTACTCTGGACGTGGTTGGCTTTGTTATCCCAGTGACGATTTTGTTTATGTGGTTTCACAAATTCAAGACATTTTTGATAAATTAATTAAAGAAAAATATGCCAACAAAAATTTATTACAATATATGAAACTGGTCATTGAGTTTTCAATAGATAATCGTAATATTGCAGTATGTGTTAATCACAAAAGTCGTTTAATAAAGTTTTTATATAATTACTCTTTAAGATTTTTTGTACGACATTACTGTAAAGATATAAATAAAATTTTATCAGGTAGAAGAAAGAAAGACAATGTTAACGACTATCTGCAAAACCAAGCCGAAACTTACTTTGTGAAATGTTTAAAAACAAAAAATAAAAATAAATAAATATGAACCCAGTTTTATTTTATAGAACCTTTCTTTCCGTTAAAACTAGATATCTTATTGTGAGGTTTGCTGAAGTTTTATTATTCTATTTAAGATACCTACGTTATATTCTGTTTTGTATATATTTAATATAATATTCATATTATTTTATAAAATATCAGTATTCACCCAGCAAACCTCATAGTAAGAAAAAGTAAAATGAAAATAGAAATTGAGCAAGCGTTACGTACGCTGACTGATACAATACGAATATAATTTTGTGTGTGGCGGATAGATGGCGCTAGAGACTTGTTAACAAAAAAAGCTGGGAAGATTGGTCTCTTTTTCCAGTATATATAAGTACTCTTTGGTACATAACTTATGCTTATTGCTATATGCTTATGCTATCATGTATATTTTGAATTTAAATGATTTTTTAGGCTGAAATGAATTGCTTCGCTTTGTTTTGCATTGCTTTGCTTGCTGCTAAAATGTTGTTTTTGATTGATTTTTTATTTTAATTTTTGTTACTTGAAAGCAAAGGATGATAAGTCCAAACATCCTTTCAAGTAATAAAATTTATTTTTTTACATGTCGTGTTTTTTTGTGTCACTAAACAGGCCCTGCCAGAATAACAGCGCTGGTGCGACACAATGTCGCATCAGCTAATGCTGAGGCAGGGTCCTGGTTAGCCCTTAGGTTTTTTTATTTTTTTATTTGTATCTGTAATGTGTAATATCTGGGTTAATAAAATTATATTCTATTCTATTCTATTCTATTCTATGTGGGATTGCGTCCTCATAGTGAGTGGGTCACATCCACATCACAATTCGTGGGTCATGACCCGTTTTCACAATATGACGATAATAGATTGATGATGATGATGACATAGATTATTTGTATGTCAAATAAACACCAATATTATAAAATTTAATGTACCTTTATAAACAGATAGGTGCATAATTATTTATTATCATTAATTAATTCATGATACGGTAAATTACCGTTGTGAATGCACGCTGATTATAAATGTGAATTTATTATTAATAATAAAGCACGTCATTATTGCTACAGTTGTTATGCGATTTAATACAAGTTAACCTTGTTTTCGGCTGGCCTGTGTGTGACAATACCTACAAGTTCTACCTTTTATATGAGCGGCTTAAACCATTGCCATTCTATAGTTCAAAATTGTATAACTTTTACAAAAGCATGTTTAGTTTTTAATATCTAAAGACATTTTTGTACTGTAAAAACTGGCCAAGTGCGAGTCGAACTTGCGCACCGAGGGTTCCGTACAAACTCAATTTAATACCTCTACGCGTTCATGAGAAAAGAGGAAATAACTTTAAAATTTTCAAATATATTTTTTATTATATGATGTAACTAAAAATTTATGGTTTTCGAAGTTTTTCCTTCATCTGTACTATCTACACCGGAAGTACCCTGTAGGTTTTGAGACCCGTGCGAGTTTCAAAAATTTGCGGTATAAACGACTGTATCTTTTGATGGCTTTGGCTTAGAAGTTTGATTTTTTCGCAGCTCCAAAGCCATGAGTATTAGATATGAATTTCAGTTTGATACCTCCACGCGTTCCTGAGAAAAACGGTCTTGACAGACGGACGGACGGACGGACAACAAAGTGATCCTATAAGGGTTCCGTTTTTTCCTTTTGAGGTACGGAACCCTAACAAATCAAGATTGATTCTTGATTAATTCTGTGGCGTAACCAAATTACCAAAGCCATTTCCAATGATTTGTAAACAGTGTTGAGGAGGTCCCATAGTGAATCATCGACAAGATTATATTGTCACTAACTTAATTAAACTAAAACCTGCATTGCCTGGCGGGATTCGAACCCACATCATTATAGTTTAGTGTATTATTGTTACTGATTATAAATGTATACCGATATATGTATAATTACCTACCTGTGTTCTTTGTTGTTATTGTTTTCTATTTATTCCGGCATTCGCAAATCACCTTTGCAAGGCGCTGGCTGAAAATCAGCGCTGCTGTGGTATCACGAAAGCATTTACCACTGAGCATAGCTGAAGCAGCGAGCAAAAATATAATTATGTACCCCACAGTCATTAGTTTTACACTTGTTAAATGGCTGACTAATGAATTTTACTCGCAAGTAAGAATCATCATCATTATTATCAGCCTATTAATGTCCCCAATACTGGGGCACAGGCCTTCCCTGTGGATGGTGTAGGGAGATTGGGCCGTGACCCTCCACGCGGGCTCAGAGTGAGTTCATGGGTGCTAACGACTGCAGATGCAGCCGGGACCAACGGCTTAACGTGTCTTCCGAAGCACGAAGGAGCTCGAGATAGTAAATTTCTGGTCAGCCATCCAATGACCGACCACTGCGAGAGTTAACTTCAACGATCGCAGCCCAACACGCTAACCACTTGCGCCATAGAGCTCCTCGAATTGATAACAGTAAAAAAAAAACGGCCAAGTGCGAGTCGAACTCGCGCACCGAGGGTTCCTTACAAACCTGTAGGTATATAAGTAAAGTTCACCCATCACAACAATCGAGTCATAGTTATGGTATTTTTTTTTTATATAATGTAACTAAAAATTTACGTTACTTCGTAACAAATTTCAAGATTCTAAGTTCACGGGAAATACCCTGTAGGTTTTGATTCCCGTGCGAGTTTCGAAAGTTTGCTGCATTAACGGCTGTATCTTTTGATTGCTTTCGCTTAGAAGTTTGATTTTTTTTCAGCTCCAAGGGACAGTAGACATGAGTATTACATATGAATTTCACTTTGATACCTCCACGCGTTCCTGAGAAAAACGGTCTTGACAGACGGACGGACGGACGGACAACAAAGTGATCCTGTAAGGGCTCCGTTTTTTCATTTTGAGGTACGGAACCCTAAAAACAAACTGCTGCAAGCTTAGCTTCAAGTAAGAATGGTCAACTAAAATCTGATTTCATTTTTTTTAAACAAATTACAACAAAAGCATTTATCCATTCATGTTTTATTTCATTTGCATTTAATGCGAAATAGTCCTAAGTGTATGGGAGTTTGGAATAAAAGTATGTAATAAATTTTCTAAAATTATTTATTTCCTCATCATTCTCTCTTATTTTTTTTTATAAACTTATGATATCTTAGCTTTATTTACAGTTTAACATAAATTAAAGTAGCTGAAATTTAATTTACATAGTAAGCTACTATTGTACAATGCTTTCATCATGAAAGACTTGACTTCTATCAATTAACAATATGGTAAACCATTAACATGGAATATAAAGACTATTCATGACAGAGCGTTTAATTTTTTTGTATTTCGTATCTGACCTAAATAGCCTTAATACAACATGCCAGAGACCACTAGGAAACAGAGTAGGTACAAAACAAAAAAAAAAGTTCCAAATTTCCTGATTTTTAAAACACAATTTAGATATGGTAACTTTAACAAAATTGTTGATTTAGATTTGAGAAAATAATTTAACACCAAATAAAAAGAAATTAAAAATAGATACACAGTAAAGTTAATTAATTGATCCGAAATTTAAATCAATCGAAATAAAAACTCAACACCAAGTACCAAATGGTAAAACAATAATTTAATATTTTAGGAAGAACAGTGCCGACATTCACTATACTACTGTCAAATTATCAACAACAAATAAATTATGTATTTAAATTAAATAAATGGCACAGACCAAATTCTACGACCATATTCGGTACATGGTGATGTGTATAACTTTTTTTTATTTTCCATAACATAAATTTTGGTTGATACAACATTTATAAAAAATAATAATAATAATTTCGTTTGTCGATTTGCCAAATAATCACGATTTAATATAATCCAAACAAATATAATCACAATAACTCTGATGGAAGCAACTGTTAGTTGTGCAACAAAAGAAACAACACTTCTGCGTAACAACGTAATGGCAAACATGTATCGCTAAATAACATCGGTGGAGATCACATTTACACGATATAACTTTAAATTTTATATAAATACAAAATATACAAAGGTAATTTACCTAAGTCTATAGCAACAACTTCAATGCAATATATCCATCCATATATTGATGTGAAATTGACACGGTTACGATAGGCTTAAGAGGAATTAACGAACTATTTATTATAAACAGAATGTGTCGCATAAATAACTTTAACCGGGCAGCGGGCGGGCTATGGGACTGCTGGGTCCAAAGTCCCGCCCGCCGTAGTTACTCACGATGGATCGGTCACCGCTCTGACAGATCAAGATCGCGATATCAGTCTCACTTATTCTGTCATCATAAAGTTAACGACTACACCACAGCTCGTAAAAGCTAGAACGTAATACCGTCAATAAGAATCGCATAAACATCGACCGTCAAGCGTGAACGCACGCGCGCGCGTCTAAACCTGTGCGACTCTCATTGCGCAGTTCGAACTTCTAAAATTTTATAAATTAGTTACGGCGAAATCGCGGACCAGCCGCTTTCGACCGTACGATCCCATCGGATCTTAATCACTAGAAATCTCGGCAGAGACCTTCATTCGGCTCGGGGTACTACTACTGAAATTCTTGAACACGTGGCGTTACTGTGACGGGGCTGCCTATTTCAGTGTGCGCAACCGCAAGCTCTCGGCTTAGACCGCAATAACTTACAATTAAATCATAAATAAAATTTGACATTGCATCGACTTGCGTCCACTGCGTTCCGAAAGTAACAGAGCCATTAGAACGGAGGGGGTGGGCTGTCGCTAGAACCGATGCCAGCACCGGTGCGGGGTGTGAGATGGGTGGCGATTTAGCAATGCGCGAAAGGGAAGGAAACTTTCCAGTTCCGATTCCTCTACAACAAAATGCAGGAGAAGCAGATCTAGAACGATCCGCGTTGTCGTGTTGGTGTTTGTTGACGCATCGCCGTCGCGGGTGGTTTATACGCAGTCGAGGAGATCGACGTCGGGCACGAGGCGGTCGTGCGACGCAGCGGCCCGTGGTGGCAGCTCGTTCCGCGGGTCGCGCGCCAGCCACGGGTGCCGCAACACGTCGCGCGCGCTCAGCCGCTCGCACGCCTCGCGTCGAAGCAGGGAACGGATCAAACACTTGCCCCGCGACGACAAACACTCCGGCACCACGAAGTAACCCCGCGATATCTTCGCAAACAACGACGCATGCTCTGAATCGTTAAACGGATACCTGCAACAATAGATTACACATTTTAGAATTCACGACGACTGATCACAATACCGATACACTAATTACGAAGATCTTATTTTTGCTCAACATTATCGGTCAAAAATAACAAAAACGCAACGAAACTAAAGTTTTCTCAGCAAAAAATGAAGGTTGAACAAAAAACTCCCTTATCGCATTTTAAAAAGATAAGCGCGCATCATTAACGTCGCCCGTCGTTTGGACCGAATTGTGGAGTTTTTACAAAGCACGGCACCGATTAATGACGGAGAACCGATTGTCATTTCTGAACAGCAGATGCGTTCAGAAACAAAAACTCAGGTAGGTGCACTGAAACCCTTCCGGCGACAGGTGATGCGGCGATTGCGGCGAAATCCCGAATTTAGAATGTATAAATTACGGGTGCGAGGGACCGAAAAAAGTAGAAAACAAAGGATCGCGAACGGCAGGTGCGCGGAGGAGGCCGGGCCGGGCTGCAACGTCTTCGCCACATGACTGCGGCTCGGCTCACGGCAGGTGCGCCGAAGATTTCACTAGCCTCATTTATATGTGGGTGATATAATTGTTAGCCGTTGGCGCGTAACGGCCGACAGGTGACCATCCCCCGTCGCCAACGGTCGACGCGACCCTTTTGCGATCTCTAAAAACGGTAAGTCCCACGCTCGGGGGCGAAGACGTTACTTTATAACATACTATTGAATTATAAGATACGCACCTTCCAACAAGCATGGTGTACAGTATGACGCCGAGGGACCACATGTCGGCGGCCCGGCCAGAGTACGTCCGGTGAGCTCTCAGGATCTCAGGGGACACGTAAGCTGGACAACCTCTCTTGTCTTGAAGTAAATCTTCTTCCGGGTCATCGAGGACCACGGCGTCTTCTAACGACTCCAGTTTTAACGTCGTCCTGCAACAAACGGAGAAATCTTTCAGAACGGAAATTTGGTAGTAACTACTTTATCACTATATTAGGTAGTTTAAGCTGTAACCTTGCCAGTTAAATTTTGTTTGAAGCGCGCTAACCGATGACCCACATAAATCGCGAGTGCTCTATTAAATACAGGTATGTAATTATGATACGCGGTGTGTGTTCGTGCGTTAATGGATCCCTTTGTGCACAAAGCTTTGTCCGGGCACTATTAACGATTCGCGCTACAACTAATTAACGTTAAAGCACCACATAGTAAACGGGCAGCGGCGGGGATGATATTGTGAAACGAGATACGGAGGGTGCGGGCCGCCCCGCACTCGGATACGCGACTAGGGCTACTGTTCGGCCGGAATTGCGCGGATTTTTAGTTAAGATAAAATATCAAAATTCTATTAAAAGTATTAAAAAGCATCAAGGCATCCTCTGTCTTAAATATCAGGACTTTTGTATAAATTGCTGACTTTTTCTCAGTACAGTTTTCATAATGGTAACCCTACGTGCGACAGTAATGTCATGTAAATAATTACAAGCGTACCATAAAGCTGTTTTGGTGACGCAATACGTTTTGTTTCATCACTTGCGGGCTTTGGGCGCGCGCAGCACCGTACCTATGCTATGCGACCTCGTGTTTCACAGACGCCGCATCGTTTCGAAATGCATTAAATGCACAGTCCGAAATAGTACACCAATGTTTAAGCGATTCAAATGTAAATAAAACGGGACTTTCGCCTTTATGCGATTTTCATGTTTTTCGTACCGTTCATTACTGGACTCGACTCGTACGAAACCTGTGTTCCACGGACGTTGCAATTCGAATGTTGCAAAGTTGCAACTGACAAAATAAACTAAAAGATGTTCGGAACAAAATCAACGGGCGATTTTTAAAAATAAAAGAGAATTAATTATAAGTACTGAAGAAGTGGCAGGTGCGCGCGGTAGGCGTTTCGAAGGAGTATTAAATCGACGCATGCATTAATGCATTATAGGGTATATTTTTAGCCTATTTAATAATATACAAAGAGGGGAAATGAAAGAATCTAACAATGTATTTCAAGAAGGGCTCCCGGTCTATTTTTACCCCTTGAACACTACGTACTAAAATAAACACAATTATTATGAATCTTGCGCCAAAATAGTTGATAATGCCTATAATAATTATGAAGAAACTCGTATGCTTTGATTGCTCACACATATTTCGAAAGATAGAGGCAATCAATATTAAGTTTGCTCAGAGAGCAGTTACAAAACCCGCAAGTTGCGGTCTCAAACGTTTGACAAATAAGTCTGCGGACGTGAAATTACTTACTCACTGAAATTGACGATTGCCGAGATGACCGACGTTGTACATACTATAGATGGGAACTGTCGTCCGTATTAAGTCATATTTCAACCAGACCAGACCAGACTTTGGAACAATTCGACTATTATTACCAAGCACATAGTGGATTTCTCGCGGACTAGATCTAAAAAAAAAAAACTGAAGTCTATGATGTGATGAGCAGTCAGTCGTACTTGGCTCTAATATAATTTTGTGCGTGCGATATTCCACAAGACAAATGCTGCAGTCATTTATTATTAAATTTATAAGTGATCGGATCGTGACAATATGGAGCGGTTGGCTCCTTCTATAAAGGTTACCACTCGTTATAAGTGTCGCAACTCGCAATCGTTCACAGTTGCAGTGTGGTTAAAACACAAGCGCGCGAGATCATTCACCACTATCTTTAGCATTTTCACCTCTTCTGGTTTCGATAGGTGCATGATTAGAGAGCATTTTCCCATTGTTAGCACTCATTGTCGGAGCTAGCTGTGCGCTCAGCCGTGCGTGCCAGTGCACGTGCCCGTTAATCGGTGTGTGGCAAGAGATGCTCTGTGGGAACCAGCTGACGAAACGTGTGACGTCACCATGCAACTGCACTCCGGACTTTTTTGTAATCCATCAGTGAACGGAGCTGGATCCGAGCCGAGGGCGTCCTCGTATCCGTTTAGGTCTCGCCGGCCGGCTGGCGCAACTGATCCTAATTAAATCCCTACAGCAGCTGCAAGGCTAAAGTGCGATGTCTGTGCAGTTCTGCAATCGATTCGGATTTCGCAACGTGTACATAAGTTATACGGGTGTCGTAATGCGGTCGGAAGGTTGGCCGGATTTCCGAGCGGTGGCCTCCAAGGATTCTCGGCTGTGTCTCGGACGCAAGCCCGGGCGAAAGGACAACTCACAATTTACGCAATTTGGCATTACGCACACATGGACTGTCTCGCTGCGAGTCGCGTGGCAGCAGCCGAACGATCTAATCTAACTCGTGAACTCGTGTCCAAAACTAAACTGTATGCATTACTAAATTGACTCACGTTTACAACTTCGCAATACTGTTAACTAATATTTCGTTAAATTACATGTTTGTAAATAGGTGGCTGGCAGTAACTTTATTGGTCAAGTTAGTAGAAACTTAGTCGTTAACACATTGGATGCTTAATTTAATCACTCATTACGATTTAATAAACGAGCCAGTTAAGTTAATATAAAGGTATTTATTTGTCAATTGTATATTATCTCGCTGTGGCTATTTCATTCACGTTTAGTATATCGACGTGTGGGAGATCGCCCACAATTAGCGGGATGCGCCGGCGCATGTTTCGTAATTGCCGCCATTGCTCAACTCAACCCTGACAGTTTCGTAACAAACAATGGCAGTCAGATGCAGCACACACGCATGCACTTCCTGCTCGACTTAGCTCCGCACATGACGAATGCCTTGCGCAAGCGCTAGGAAACGCTATGTGCTACCATTCACAAAACTGTCTCGATGTGTCAGGCCGAGCGGTGATTGTGAAAGGTTGTATTTTAATAGCCGTCAGCGATGCATAATTCACTGTTTACACTTCATATTGAGTGTTTCCGAACTCCATGGTGTAGTGTAGCGGTTAGTCATAGGTTTTCGTAACCCGCATTGTAGGGACATGTGGTGTCGCAAGCGGTGTTGCTACACCGCAGAGATGCCGCCGGGATAGGTTGGGAAACCATCCCGACCATACCCAATTATACGGCGGCTCTTATTGTGCAATCGTGTTCCCACAGCGGATGTTTTATGAAATTTGATTGATAACAGTATCAGAATACGAGGCTTTTCAACTTATCGTTATGCTCGCTCGTGAATCAGTTTAACGTAAATAAATAGTGTTGCGAAAATGCCACTCGAATTAGGCCTGTAGGCATCATTCGAAACAATTAGCCGCTTGACAAACTACTACACGCTTAGTATACTTCTGAATTTAGGTCTCCAAACCGCATAAGCAGCGGCACTGTTCTCTTTATCGGAGTAGCGATAACGCAAGTCGAACTCAGTTTTGAAACCGAGCGCTGGGCCGCTTGCGAAAACACAAATGTGAACATCGGTTGCAAAATTGTTTTAGTTTTAAAATCGAATGCAGCGCCAATGAGGAGGTGAGATGCGAGCGAGCACGGGGAGAACTGCGGGTGACATTTCGATGCACGGAGGATGGATGCTGCAAGCAAGGAGATCGGATAGCGTAACTGCTGCGGGCCGTATTTGGCAGGCGGGCGGGACAAGCCGTGGTGTGTCACAATGGCGCGGATTATGAGGTGCGTTGCGATATGGCATGTTGCAAGCCCGGGCGGCGGTCCAAGCGCCGCCGCCGAAATAATCCCGTGTTGCAACGCGCGGACTGCGGAACGGGCGCCACTCCAGCCAGTGCCCGTTGCGCAAACCCACACAGCAATTGGCCAATTGCGCACGACCATCTCCAGCTGTTCACGCACGCGGACACTTTACGAAACGAACGATACCGTTCGATGACCCCTAGCGCCTATTACGTGAGGATTGTGTAACGAAAGAAAGTGTCCGTTGTGCGTCCGCAAAAAGCCCCAAATCTCATCTGTCTCCGTCTCGAATTGTTGCAATTACACCGTTACGTGGTATCGAGTTAAATCCGGTGAACGGTCGACTTTCTAACGCGGGGTCGGTGTACTCAGCGTGTCGCAACAATTTCTCCGGGCGTCGCGAACGAAGAAAGCGCGACCTCGGCAACGTTTTGCAATCGCGTGGCCGCTTCGCTCGCAACGGAGAAAGAGCGCCGGTATAGAAAGCGTGCATCGACCCGGCCGTCCGCAATCGGCGAAACCGCAGGGAGCACTTGCGACAGCCTCGCTAACAAGATTCCTGGCTCCTGCGAGACCGCAGTGGCACGAGCCCTGTATTACGACCCCGCGTTGGGCAAGTGGGCGCACCGTGCGCCGTGACGCAAGCGACGATAACGCGCGCGTATCAAAGGGACTAGAGAAACACTTCCGTTCATTGACTCGTCCGATATAGCAACCTTATTTTGCTGTTTCGAAATATTATCGAGGCATATTGCACACGTGTGTGGATTACACTACACCAAATGTTCACATCATACCCGTGATCTTTACGGGCCATTGAGAAGCCACGTTCGCAAGTCACGGTTGAAAGAGTTCGCTCCAGACTTTTTACAATAGATGACACAATCGCTCGCGTAATTTCGTGATATGAGTTAGGAATTATGTCGAGCAGGATATTACACGAAGAATCGAGGGGTAACCGGCTCACTCACGGCGTATACACTTTCATAACTCAGTTGTTACGTTTTAAGCAGACTTTTCCAAGAGTTGAGAAACGAACATGTAAAAAGCTGAAACTCCCACAAGGCAGACGGGTAATCATCATTATTACAGCGCTACGTAATATAAGGAAAAAAATATTGCATGATAGGAAAACTGCCTTGATTAATCGTGACGATTTGATTCCCGATAATAAGGTAGTGCAACTGCAGAAATCAAGAAATGACCCATTTCTCATATAGAGTACCTAATCTTTGTTGAGTAAACATAGAACACCTGGCGACAGGTGATCGCGCGCACACCACCGGTCCTCCCAGTTCTGAGGCTGCCATAATGACGATAACCATACAGGGCAGCTGTACACGTTTGTCGCCCGACA